TCGAGTGAACCCTAAACCCTAAACCGTTAAGTAAGGCTCAGTTTCGGTAGACACTGCTAAGGAAGCGGTCAGAGGAAGCTGGGGATCTGGCAGGCGGCTTCGAGAAAGATGAAATCTTTGATTCCAAAGGGGGAGGGGGGGGGGGCAGCACGTTTTTGGCTTGTTTTGCGATAGAGGCCTCACGGCTTTATGGCCTTTGCTTTGGGTTGTGTGGTTTCGTTAGGTTCGTGTCTTTCATGATTCGGTGGTGTAGCGTTAGGATGATGGCTCTGTAGCAGCTTGGAGCTCAAGGTTAGGAGGAGTCCCTAAACCCTAAACCCTCAACCCAAACCCTAAACAACCCTAAACCCTAAACCGTAAACCCTAAACCCTAAAAGCTAAACCCAAAAAACTAAACCCTAAACCCTAAACCCTAAATGCCCCAACCGCAGTGCGAGGCCAGGTCCCCATCAGTTCTGAAGAGCCAACCTCACAAGCCGTCTGATAGGGTGGCCTAAAGAATTGCCAAAACTATTTTGGGGGCTCCTTGTTAGAATTATAGTATAATGGGCCCCAAAACCCTATTCTAATTGTTAAGGCCCCTATATTATAGTCTATTGGTTTGTGACTGTATTCAACCGAGAGGAATTCAGCCATCGGCCTTCCTTGACAATGCGATAGAGCAAGAGCAGGTAAGCAGATGAGGCTACTGAAACATGAATATTCAGTACGACCACTTCTATAGGTTTTCAGGCCTTAGCTACAGTATGATTCTACCCAAGAACACTCTTCTAAGCGTTGACGTTGAGGCCCCTAGATCCGACGTGGCGCGAAGCCCCAAATCCGATATGGGCTTAGGGTTCAGGGTTTAAGGTTCAGGGTTTAGGGGTAGGTCAGGAGTAGGCAAACTTGAGCACTGAAGCCGAGCTGCCTAGCCAATATCGCCCAGCGTCGCAAGAGGGATGTATGCTGCCAGGCTGTTCCCGGTCGCTCGTGCCGGCAAGGCTTCAAGCTTTAAGCCCCCAAACACGGGATCCTATCGCTGAGCCACCTCGTCTGTTGCCATGTCAGCGAAAAACCCAATCTTGCCCGTGGAGGCGATACCTTGTTGGTCGTTTCTGTTGGGGAATCGGGCTACTCTTGCGCACTCAGATATGGTCCTGAACAGTTGTCTTACTCGCTTCGTCTGCCTAGCTTCTGTGCCGATCACTTCGATGTTACTATTCTCTCTTTGATCTTACTCCTCTTGTGAGTATCGTGAACATCAAGAGACTCCCATAGGTGCTGTTTCAGGGTTCAGGGATAACCCTGAAACCCTCAAACCTAAATCCTAACCCCTAACCCTCGACCCTAATCCCTAAACCCTAAACCATAATCCCTAAAGCCTAATCCCCAAACCCCCAACCCTAAACCCTCAAGCCTAATCTTAAGCCCCTCTACCTTGAAGGCTTGGATCTCGCCTGTGCCCAGGCGGGCTCGGAGAGGATGGGGGGCTTTGCTTTAAACCCTTTGGCCCAGAACCTGTGGCTGTAGGGAGACCGGGTGCACAGCTTGGAGCCTAAGTACGGTTTTGGGTTTCGGGTTATAGAGTTTAGGATTGAGGGTTTCGGGTTCGGGTTTATGGGCCTAAGAGATAATGTGACCTCGTTGTTATGCTTGCATGACTTGTTCACGACTTTGGGGGTTTACTGTCCTAGGCTCTCGGGCGTCTTGGATGGCATGGTGTTGCATCGACAACAACGAGGATGCTCAGAAGAGCACTACAACAATCTACAACAAAGTCGTGCATGGTATTATACAAATCCATCAAAACCCTAAAACCCTTATAAACCCCTTTTTACTTACCATTACACCCTTACAAAGTCTTGTAAGGCCCCTACAATGTACAACCACCTGCAATGATGTATGATCCTGTTGTGGCGCAGTGACGTGCCAGGGCTGGGAAAATCGCCAAACAACCAAACGATCCCCCCATGCACCCTCACCGCCCTCCCCCACAAAGTACAAACCCCCGCCAGGCCAACGCCCACCCCCCCGCCAGAAGCAAGCCAACAAAGACCTTGCAAACCTCTAAAAACCCGTACACAACCCTATCAAAGCCCTGAAATTCGCTGCAAAAGCCCCGCCTCTACCCCCAAAAGCTCGGCCTTCCTTGCAGACATCGTCAGGCTATCGCCTTGGATCCTACGCTTCCCGAGCCGCCTCAGGGCTTTCAAGGGGGTTTAGGGGTTCAGGGCTTATAAGGTTTAGGGTTTAGGGGTTTAGGGTTTAGGGTTTAGGGGCTTATACGGTTTAGGGTTTAGGGTTTCGGGTTTATTGTTTCAGAAAGGAATGCTGTGCGGCCCCTGTTTTTCCACGCACAAGCTTTGGCGACGTTTTGTGGATTGTCGCTTCAGCTTCTGTTTCGGAATGATTTGAGACTTCTTCAGAAAGTTTGAGGGTTCAGGCGTTTGGGGGGTTACGGGTTTAGGGGTTCAGCATTTAGGGCTTTAGGAGGCTAGGACGTTAAGGGGTAAGGGCTTGGAGGGTTTAGGGCGGCTAGGGCTCCAAGAACGGTTCTTAAGGGATCTATGCGGGTGGTTGGGGTTTTGGTATTTAGGATTTAGGGGTTTCTGGTTTGGGGACAGTTGCCATAATGGGGCTTTGACGGTTTTTTCCTTATTATGGGTATGTAATGCAGGATTTATATCATCAACCGTAGGACCGTGACGCACCTCCCAGGTTCTTAGCTCGAGGGGGATGCCTCCTACGCCTTGGACGCCGGAGAGAAGCACAGGAGTGCCTCAAGGAGGGGCATGACTTTCAAGAATGACAAAATGCTTATGATAATAAACAATATCAACACGACCATTATGAAGATCCGTATAGATAGGATGAGCAAACAGAATCATGCCCTTTTTGAGGAATGGTATCAAGAAGCCATGCAAGGAACCCAAAGCAAGAAATAATTACCTATATTATTTTTGGGGTTCCTTATTTTTTATTGTAGTATGATATACCCCAAGAACCCGATTCCAATTATTTCGGCCCCTACATTACCAAGCCTAAGCCTGAAATCTTTAACGCCAGTTCCATGGAGGTCTATCTCGTTTGGTCATCGCAGCGCGGCTTCCTTGCCGAGAATCACTCGAGGGCCTATTGGAGGCCGAGAGATCAACACCACGGTGGGTACGTGTGTAGAATATATGCGAATCTCCGAACCAACAAGCAATATACTAGCTTTTATTTACACGAGAGAGTGCCAAGGAGACAATCAAACCGCTCATTCCTGGTTTCTTTCAGGAGTTGAAGAAGAATGGTTCGATTTCAGTTTGTTGCAGGTACCAAATAACCTACCTTTTTGTGGCCGAACAACCATGCCGAAATCATAATGCGGACTCGTAAAGAGGAAGGCTATTTGGCTCGCAATAGCCTCGAAAGGCCCTGCTCCTTCCCAGTCGTTGAGGCCCCGAGGCTAACAAAGGTTCAGATGGAGCCCTTGCAGACCCTAAGCCCCACAATCTGAACCCAAAGTCCCAAAGCCAAAACGTTTACGGTTTTATTTAGAGTTCAAGGTTGAAGACCCTAAATCCGAAGTCCTACTGCCAGACTCAAAATCACTACATGGACCCCTGAACACATGTCTTAGCATGCAAGCAGGCTTGCAGAATGCTTCCTTACGGAGCTGGAGCAGCGGAACGCGAGACTCAGCTCGCTCACCTTTCTCAGATCACGTGTTTGGAGTTCGTGGAGAAGTGTGCAAGTATGGTCTCTGCATAGCTACGGCTACATAGGGTTTTCTGCAAAGCTTTCACAGGGTTAGATAAGGGCTTGGTAGGCTAAACCCTATACCCCATACCAGTAAACCCTTAAAGTTAGGACCACTGTAACTTCTAGGTCCCTCAACCTGAGGAATGTCTGTATCCAGGTCCCTCATGCTCTGAAACTGCACGGTTCAACAAGCTACATCACGGCATATTGTAGGAGTAGTAGTAGTAGTAGTAGTAGTAGTAGTAGTAGTAGTCGTAGTAGTCGTCGTCGTCGCAGAGGGCTACCTTAAACCCTAAACTGAAATCCTAAATCCTGAACCCTATAAGCCCTAAACCCTAAACTCTAAACCCTAAACTATAAGCCCTCAGCCCTAGAAGCTCCATGTTAGCCAATACTCCCAGATCCTGTAAGCCTCTCAGGCAACCCCGAACAACTGAACCCCAACACTCTAATCCAATAGGGTTTAGGGTTTAGGGTTTAGGGTTTAGGGTTCTAATCCAAGAGCCCATGCAAAAACTGAGGAAGCAAGGGGCTCTCCTAGAAGCTAAACCTTAAACCCCCAAGCCTTAAACCCCAAACCAAACCTGAGGAAGCAAGGGGCTCTCCTGGAAGATCGAACTTTCCATGCGCTCGTGGACAGCACCGAGGCAACAGAGTTTGTAGCGCTGGGTCTGGGTTTGGAGCTTGCGGTTTATAGGGTTTGGGGTTTAGGGTTTGGGGTTTAGGGTTTAGGGTTTGGGGTTTGGGGTTTATTATGGTTGAGGGTTCGGGGTATCATGGATCTGTCGGGGTTCGGGATTTCGAGGTTTCTGAGTTTACGGTCTAGGATTCATTCATAAGGGTCCTCTGTTAAGCTTTGATGGTCTCAGGATCGGCTTCAGGTTCCCGGTTCGAGGTTCTTCGGTTTTAGGTGACTTAGGACTTGAGGGTTCGGCTTGAGGTAGGATTTAGGGCCTTGGGCTTTGGGCCTTCAGGGTATGTCGTTCAGGGCTGAAGGTTCCGGACTGGTGGAGTAGTGTTTGGACAAAGGTGTGTTGGCCCTAGCCCTAAACCCGAAACCCTGAACAACAAGATTGGGTTCTTGGCTTGCAGTGCTTCGGGGCCGACCCGAATCCTTGAAACGCATACAACGGAAGCCCTAGGAGCACACCCTCAATCCCCTACTCCTACGCCCTGATACCCAACTCCTAAACCCTGAAAAACCCCTAATCCGCAAACCCTAAACAGCCCTCAGCCCTAGATCCTGCAACGATCGCGGCCCTGTTCACCACGAGCTGTCAGGTTGCTTTGGACTTAGCCTTCCGCTACGATAACGACAGGACTGACCTTCAGACTTATAGGCATCCGGACTCTAATAAAGTCGATTTAAACCGTGGGTTTAGGGTTAGGGGTGTTGAAAATTTTGGGCACTCCTAAAACAGGACCTGCAGAATTGGTAACAGTCGACTCTGTAACCCGAAACCAACCCGACCACTCCCTCAGCTCGAGTGACGTACATTCTCGCCCAGCTTCTACAAGCCCCAAACCGATTAATGTAGGGGCCAAAATAATTACCAATATTCTTCTAGGGGTTCCTTATTATCATGATAATATAATGAACCCCAAAATCTTATTCCATTAGTTCCATTAGTTAAGGCCCCTACATTAGGGTCTAGAGTCTCTATCTCTACAATGAGGGTTCAGCTGCTTCTGGTGGGCTCTTGTGGCTTTAGGATCGTGGTCACTGCTTCTCTTGGGGATCCATGCTAAACACTCGTCGTTCAATTGAGGTGTGAGCATCCACTGCTCTTCAGCCTTAGAATCCATGTCTATCGAATAAGGACGTCGACATGGACTATTCGGGTTCTTGCTTGGGCGGCAGCCAAACCTTTCAATGCCGTATTCTCGATGCCGCTTCTTGATACCATTCCTCAAAAAGGGCATGATTCTGTTTACTCTTCCTATCTATACGAATAGTCTTTTTTTTAGGCTTCTATGTTAGCACCCTCGAGGACCGGGCTTTCCTGTTCGGCGGCCGCGAAGCACCTCCTCCAACGCCTGGAGGCCATGGTCGCCAATAGAGAATCCTAAATAAGTACCAATACTACCGGTTTAGGGTTTAGGGTTTCAATACCCTTCCTCAGGAGTTCCTGTCTTAGAATATGATAATACGATAGTAAACTTCAAAACCCTATCCTAACTTTTAGGTCCTCTATGTGAGAGACTACAGAGCCCCCTTATCAAGGAATGCAGCTGAAAACTCAAGTCTCATTACAAGTTTCCCATTTGGGTTTAGGGCGTCATAAAGCTGATCGAAAGGCTGTTCCTTAAACTGAGAGGCCAACAAATTCCGAAACCAAGGAGCGTGCTTTGGATCACGGTAGGGAGAGTCCACAAGTTCAGGAAGGAACGTTCCCAATACCCTTAACAGCTTTACCTCCAAACAGACCCGGCTTACTCCCAAACCCTAAACCCTAAACCCTAAACCCTAAACCCTCATAAATCAACCCCAGAGTCCCTATATCAAGGACTGTATACCTTAAACCGTGCAGTTGGGTTCCTCACATAGTTCAAGGGGTGTGCCTTAACCTACCATATCCTGGTTTTGAAGGTTCTTATGATACACCGTAATATTGAACATGTAGTGGCCCAAAAGTTCAAAAACCAGCACTCTTTGATAGGTTAAGGTATTCATTAAAGGGAGCTCTGCATCTCTGGGTCTTCATCGAGCCCCGATTCCCGTTGGTTAAGGATTAATGGGGGTTTTAGGGTTTAGGGTTTAGGGTTGAGAGTTTGGGGTTTAGGGCTTCTGGGCTCTGAATTGGGGCTGGGTCGATGTGAGCCCTAAGGAAGACGGGGTTGCCTGCAAGGAGGTTTTCATGGTTCAGGTAAGGGTTCATTGTTTGGGGCTGGTTGCGGAGGCTAAGGACTTGAGAGCTTCGTCGACTAGAGTATGAGTTCGTTAACATCCCGACCAACCAGCACACTCCAAGAAAAAATGCACAGATTTCTGCTTGAACGTTTGTTTCCTGACAACCTGAATGCTGAGCACCCCAGCATTAAGTAGTGTCAAGTTCAGCATGTATAGGAAGACCGCGGCTAGTGACAACGCCAGTCCGCATCCTGCAGAAATCGAAAGAGCCCCCAATGACACTTCGAGTGTGGAGAATGACGTACCCAAGATGTCTTGCATGTTGTATAGCGATTGTCTTCAGGTACCTCAAACGAATATAAAGGCTAATCCATCATTGTATGCCCGCTACCCTCACCCTACAGCCAAAAACGCCTTGACCTCTTCAAGCTGAACTGTAAGAGTTAGTCTAAAGCCCAGCATCCCAACTTGAGCCCCGAGCTCTTAACCCCCTAACCTGGACACCCAACTACCTTCGACTGCAGCTGCACATAAGGTCACTCGGAGTGCACGGAGAAGTGCTGCCGAGCTGCTTTGCTAAGATAGGAAGAGGGCCAAGATGCGAATGCGAAAGACACGAATGCTTAAGGGTTAAGGCTTTAGGGTGTGTGGGTGTGGGGGGGGGGGGGGGCTTAGGGCTGCAAGACTTAGTCGGGGCTTGGGCTTGTTGGGCTTCGGGCTGGGAGAAATAGACGGCCATCGATCCCACCTTGAATACTCCTGCCTTTACCAGGATGGCCAACACCGTATACTGGTTTAGGGAGGGCCCACCGTAAGCTATGCTCTCAGTACCATCGGTGGAAGTGCTGCCCGGGGGGAGCGAAAGATGCCCGAGGAGAGTGTTCCTGAAACCAGGAGTGACAGGTCGGGGAGCTCCCATGTAGGTTTAGGGTTTGTAGAGTTCAATTCTTGGTCCCGTCTTGCACAGGAAGGTCAGGCATGTAACCATGAACATGCCTGCAACCGGTTTTGGTTTATATCAGGCAGCCGCAAGCATGGGAAGCCTTTGAAGGTGCACCCGGAACCCTAAGTCCTAAACTCTAGCCTTCAAGCTAAGAAATAGAACTTTATAAGCCATTGGTGAACTCTAGGTCGGGTTGAGGCGTTTAGGGTCTTGTTCGAAAGGGTGCCGCCTTCTATCCGGTTCCTAGAGGGTAAAGGGGACATTAATGTAGAGAGCTACACAGCTCGCACGCCGGAGGGCCAGACCCCTAAACTTTGCATCCTAGGCTGCGGGCTTAGGGTTTTGGTTTTAGGGTTTAGGGTTGAGGGTACATGGTGCCGTGAACCCTAACCTTAAACCCTATAAACTCTAAACCCTATAAACCCTAAACCCTAAACCCTCTAAACACTAAACCCTCTAAGCCCTATAAACCCTAAACCCGGTACATGGTGCGCCTTTGAAGCCTTCAACAGCCGCGATTTCCCAAAGGGGCGAGTCACATCCTTGTGGTGTTGATTTTTCAGCCGTTGATCCGAGGTAGTTTTAGTACGGTTTAGGGTTTAGGGTGTTGATTTAAGCCTTTATTCCTAGGTAGTCTTAGGGTTCTCTATATGAATCCTCATATATTTGGGTTATGGGCCAGGGTTACTTAATCAGGTTCCTACATTAGGTAGGAATTACTAGGGAGACCCCTGAAATAGGGGACCCTTCTTAACTTACTTCTGGCTAGACCTTATTGAGAGGGTCTCTATCCCCAAGGAATCCTAACTCCTACTTTGAAAGAGCAGTGGATGCCGACACCGAGGTTCTTGGATGCGCCTGTCGTTTCCCATGTGGGTCTTGGCCTTATGTAGTGCGCAGGGCTGGTTTTCTGAAACTGCACAACTCGTAATCTATAGCTGGTATTCTCTAGCATTTCTTACCTAATTATAAGACCCTAAAACAGATAGATTTGTAAAGGCTATTGCGGGATAGTCGTGGCTTGTACGTGACCTTCACCCTCCTTGCAAGCTCTGCGAGTGCACGGGGCTGCGCCACTGCGCCCAAGACAGCAAGCCTTAAGCCTTAGGCCCCGTGTAGCAGGGTCTCTCCAATGAGGATGTTGATGGCGCTAGCAACACTAGCATGTATGCGTGAGGGTCTACGAACCCTGACATCGTTTTTTCATCGTAGCGCATATTATCTAGTCTGCTTCAAGGGTCAGGGTGTCAAGGCTATACCCAAGAGATTAAGCTTTGCGCAGGCAGCTCCATAAATCAATTCGTTTGTGTTTCCGAGGCCGCACATGGTTTCATAGTTTCAGCATGCTCAGCATCATCATCATCATCATCATCATCATCGTCATCGTCATCGTCATCGTCATCATAATCACCATCATCATCATCATCATCAATATCGCCAACATCATCATCATCGTCATCATCGTCATCATCATCATCATCATCATCAACCTACCACTGCCATCGCCGCCACCACTACGACGCAGCTGCTGCTGCCGCTGCTTCTGCT